ATACAAAATTCTGAATTAATTTCAAAATTTTATAAAACCGATGAAGTTCTCCAAGTGAGTAAGAGAGAACTTGATTTGGATTCGACTCGGCCGCCTGCGGTCGCCGGGGTAGGCCAGCCCGCACTGCAGCGGCGTGGCCGCGCTGCCTGCCCAGCGGGCGCTCTCACCAGGCCCGCGGGCGAGCTCTGCCCTCGCCTATCCCGCTCGGTACGCACCTGATGACCTTGTCGCCCTCGGCCCTGCTGGACACGGACGCGCGGGTGGCCGGGGGCAGCGGTCCGCCGTCCAGCGCCCAGGCGACCTGCGGCGTGGGCGCGCCCCAGACCTCGCAGCGGGCGCTCCACTGCGCTCCCGGCGACAGCGTCTCGTTGGGGAACGTGCCCAGCAGCACGGGCGCGGCGTCTGAGAACAGATGCAGTCGGTATACAAAGTTTTGCGCGCGACCAAAAAGTAGAGGTGAGCGACATTAATCGTAAAAAAAAAACAAAGTTTTTTTTTGTTTTTGAGTGTACCTCCGAGCCGCAGGTGCGCCGAGCCCTGGGCCGCCTCCTGGCCGTTACTGACGAAGCACTGGTACATCCCGCCGTCGGAGCGCTGCACGGACTCCAACTTGAGAACCTGCGAGGAAATCAAAGTTAAAACAAGATTACTTTCCACGCCGCGGAGCTCTCCCACATTGTTCCCTCTGTCTCTCTCGCTCACGACGCGGCCGGCTATATCGCCATCTTGATTATTCCCGTCCTTCTCCCACCTTTCCTCTCGCTTCTCATTCTTCTCTCTTTCTCCGCCTCTCGTCGTTTCTTTCGTTCCTGCTCTCCCCTAATTATGCTTGGAATTCGCCCCTGAGCCCAACGCAATGATTTCCAAACTGGCACACCGCGGGAATCTTCGCAGCTTTAGGGCCGTTGGCGTGGCGTGGAGGGGCGCGGCCAGGCGCGCAGGTGGGATAGGACCATCCATTACGGCCGAGGCATCGCCAATTATCCCGCAATTAGACCGGCACAGCCTGCTGGCCTCCTTATAAATCATCATCAAAACTGGCGCTCGGTTCAAACACTATGGCGCACCCTCAAGGCTTTCTTAATTCCTAAAACCTTAAAGTTAACAATGGGCCATTATTGATGCAAGCGATGTAAACGATATTCGTTTCGTTAGTTACCCCATTCTCCGTATGACTGCTTCGCCCTGTGTCATAATACTTCCCCTCTCGCCTCGCCACCAATGGACAGAGCACGATAAAAATAACGCTTACTTGGTTCGCCAGCACCAGTATGGCTATAACCAAGCCGATTTTGACAATTCCCTTGTAAATACTTGGAAACTCTGTGCGATGTTTTCAACTAGAGATAAGGCGGGTACTTAAGTCAGAGAAGGAAGCAACTTTGATGCAAACAAGTTCGAAGAGGACAAATATCCCATTTAAGTGGATTTCAGGCTAAATTGTACTGGCAGATTGCGCATACGATTTTGTGATTTTAGGTGGGTCTTTCTTGGAATGATTTCAAGGAACGGTGTACATTTAATTTCACACTGATTTAGATCGAAATTCGCATTCTAAGTCCAAAAGTGCAGA